TCGTTTCGTTACTACCGTTGGACTAGGTAGATAGATCTCATAATCGATCCATTCTACCTACACTTCCATACCAGATGCTGACAATACGACATACCCTGATGATTCTAACCGGAGGCGGTGCTTCTCATCAAGTGAAACCCCTGGTTAGAGAACGAGAACTAACTGGTCTGTCACGGTTTGAGTTAGATCGTGAAGCTTAGGTCCCGTTCCCTCCAACCTTCGTCATGGCAACGCATCTCGCCGAGCCGCAGGTAAGACTTGCACTAACAAAATAATCCATCCATCCAATCCATCATGGAAACTTTTTTGGAGGGGACAAGTTCCTGATCGGCAGGGCCAATCTGGCTTCTGGGCATAAACTCTGTCTATTACGGAGTATACCTGATGGATATTTGGCGGTGGTATGTGTTAACTACTACTTAGTAAGATTTTTCTCTTTTCACCGTATTCTGCTCAACTCGGGCCATGCTCTTCCCCGATACTACCTCTCTAAGCTATCAGTTAGGTAAAGCGTCACTTATCATATCTACATAAACATCGTCATCAAGAGGCGGACAGACCAGACCAGACAGACATACGGATACAGGCTACCTGGTCTTATGCCTACGCCTCCACCTTTCCTTCACCAGCCTCACGGGGTTCCCGAGCCTTGTCAAAAACACAACCTAACATCCGGAAAGCTGCAGCTGTCTCGGTATGCTTGTTTTCTGCCACTGAAAAAGGTGAGACCCTGGACCACTGGCGCGATTCTCTTATCTTGAAGCATGAGATCTGCATAGCCATACGAGGAAGCCAAGTTCGTATTTTGAACTGTACTGTAATACTGTATTTCTCCGGATGGATGCTCCTAGCTCCTCTTCGGTACTGGAAGATCCCCTGCGTCCTTGTGGAGGTGTGCGTACGTACATAGGTACATGCAGATATGCATGCATGCCCCTGAAGATTTGCTGTTGTCTCTGAAGCACTGTACTTTCTTTTTGGCTATAGCTGCTGAAACATATCATCTTATGTGACAGTGATCTTGGATAGTAAGCAATCGAGATGTTGGATCAGGTCTTTCAGTCTACCTGGGTCCCTAAGTACTTAGGTATGAAACTACCAGGTATATCCGTACCTATCATAACAATGGAATGGAACCTCCAGTGCATTAACAGCAAAATAGTGACATGGTCATGCTAGGTCATGGCAGGATCGGATGGATCGTCCCCAGGTCGTGGGTCTTTCGCTGTGTTTGTCCCCAGTAAAGAGAAATTCAAATCAGCTCAGCCAATTTTGTCCAGTTCCAGTCCAGTCCATCAGTTCACAGCCTCAATCGCCCCAACCAAAAAAAAAAAATTAGAAGTTTGACCCTCACTAAGAATAGCAGCAGTATTTTCTTAGCGTCAGGTTCAGTTCCGCTCCGCTCGGCGCTGATTCCCATCTTAAGCGCAAGCGCGAGTCTTGGCTTCTGTTGTTTTTTGTTCTCGATGTATTCTAGCCTGTGATTATTAGCCTGCATGTCTCTTTCTGTCTTGATTGTTTTCGCTCAGCCTTCCATTCCAGGCTCATGTATGTACTGTAGTCTGTGTATTTTGCTTCTTTTTCTGTCTTCGGTTGGCTTGCCGGTTAATATTAGCTCAACGTTTACGGATACAGATTGGACTAGCATGCCATTTCGCCCGCTGCTATTGTTAGCATTTCTCGACGTCATTTCCTTCTAAATGAGAGACCCATGTTAAACTTGACTTGGCGTTCAGTTCATTCTTCTCATTATGGATGAATGGTTCTTCAGTTGTTGTTCTGACTGTGAGAATTCACTCGTTCTTCCTGCTTAGCCTTGCGCTTTGCAGCTCAGAACGGACCATCCACGTCTCTGACATCAGCCACGTTGTTGAAATTGTACGGTAATTACTACTCTCAGGTGTCCCCGCTCAAACTGCGTCTCAGTTCCCACTGTCATCAATTAAAGGATGCTTCTTGTCAGCCCTGTTGGGCCTTCCTTGGCTTGGTTGCTGTGACTATTATTTACTTTATACGCTTATTCATGAATTCTTTCGAGCTTGTAGATTGGTTTGAACCTTGATCCCATTTACTTTCCACACAAGACAGCACATAACCCCCAAGATTCCTCCTTATACACAAACTATTACTTACAATACTTGAACTAGGTACGTTAATTGACAGTTGCAAAAACACCACACCATGACTATCTAGCTGGGAATCTCCGTAGAACTCAAAAAGCGCCAGGCTGAACATACCCCCTTCAGCCCTAAAGCTAAAGATGCCGTGCCGTAGACACCCCTAATCTACAGGTAAGCAGTAAGCTCATGGTTTCATAACACTGGCTTCTCTGCTCCATTGCTTCTACATACTGCACACACCCATAGCGTTAGAACAAACCTCATCTCGCATCTATGCCGAGTCTGACTACGTTGACTTATATCTGACCCCCACCACTGGTCGCTCCTCAGGCCCCTGAAGGATTGGCCGCTTACATCCACATCAACATTAACTGTGCGGACATTTGACATATGAATCTCATGCTTGCCGATTCTTTATTGTGTAGGATCAGCTCCTTGTCCAAAAAACTTCCCTTCCCTTTCCTGGACGCCATGTACATTCCTGCTTCTAGGGCTGAGCCAATCTAACGCTGCTGGCCCCGACTCTATTGTACAGTTACACATAATTATGCCACGCTGTGTCCATCTTCCACTCCTCATGGAGTTTCCATACGCCTATTCGTCATGGCTCTGTATCCGTCTTGCACTAGCATGATATGCCTAAACACCGCTTACAGCTTCTGGTACTCAAGCTTGCCTTCCAACTTCTTGGATTCAGCCACCTTGCGAACAGCCTTGTTGAAATCGTCCTGGTTAATTGATTCCCTGTAGTCTTTGATGGCAAATAGACCGCTATAGATGTGTCAGAATGATGTTCGAGTTTGGGAATATTGGCGGTAACTTACGCTTCAGTAACAACATTTCGCAAATCAGCACCGTTGAGTCCATCGCTCATCTTGACCACGCTCTCGAAATCCAGATCACCGTCAATCACAACACTTTGCGAGTGAATCTTCAGAATTTCAAGACGTCCAACCTCGTTGGGTAGAGGAATTTCAATCTTTCGATCAAGTCGACCGGCTCGAAGCAGCGCAGGGTCCAGCGTGTCAGGTCGGTTGGTGGCCATGATGATCTTGGTCTTGCCCAAGTAGTCGAAACCGTCAAGTTGGTTGAGCAACTCCATGAGTGTTCTCTGGATTTCTCGGTCCGCGCTGGTACCCTCAGAGAAACGTCGTCCACCGATGGCATCGATTTCGTCCATGAAGATGATACAAGGCTCGTGCTCCTTGGCGTATCCGAACATCTCGCGGATGAGTCGTGCCGATTCACCAATGTACTTGTCGACAATGGCGGAAGAGACAACTAAGTCATCGTTAGCATCGTCGCACCTAGAGTGGCTATCACAGGTGCCATACCCTTTAAAAAGTTTGTCTCCAGGCTGCTAGCAACAGCTCGTGCCAGTAGAGTCTTGCCAGTTCCGGGAGGTCCATACAACAGAACACCCTTCGGGGGCTTGATTCCGACTCGTAGGAATAGCTCGGGGTTCTTGAGGGGAAGCTCGATGACCTCTCGCAACTCCCGAATCTGATCGTTCAGTCCACCAATACCAGCAAAGCTCACTTGACCTGGGTCCTCCAAGGACATGTTGTACACCAAAGGGTCGACTTCGCGGGGCAACATTCGCATAATTGTAAGTGTCGTCATATCCAGGGCCACACGGGTGCCTTGCTTCAGCTTGACCTTGTCCACCTTTGATCTGCATCCGACGACGTATCGAGGGCCGGAGGAGGCCTTGACAATAACTGCGAGTATCACCGTTAGTATACGTCCATCTTGTGCGAGTCCAAATGGTGTTCGCCTTACATCGTTCGTCATCGAGCTGTTTCAGCACCTCGCCAATGATTTGTCCCACACTTTGTAGCGCCTTGATATTGTCCTCGGTCTTGTCAAACTCTCTTTGCATGTCCTTGATTTCAAGTCGCAGGTTCTTGAGCTTTGCCTCCCATTCTCGCGACTCGATGAGCTTAGCACGGTAGGAGTTAAGGGCGGCCTGGCGCTCTTCTTCGGCTGACATTGTAAATGAGTGGTTGCTATCCTCTGTTTCTGGAATGATTAATTGTCGTTATCAATTCGATTCTTTGGGGGTTGGTGGTTTGGGTATCGGGAGCTTGAGTTATGTTATCGAGAAAGTGTTTGGACGGTGATGGCGGTTGCTCATGGCAGTGGAGAGCTTACCTCACCAGCTGGAGCCTTCAGCTAGCGGCTCGAGCTGTGTCGGCAGAATATCGGCACCACCGTAGCCTAGGTAGGTACTTACCTTACTTCATCGCTGAGCCGCCTACCCTGCATTAACAGTCGCAGAACTTATGACCAACAGCTGTGATGCAATTCAGTCACTCCAGTGTGTTCAAATAGGTTTCCAGATTTCAGCTACATTATGCAAATGTCATGACTGTGTCCAAAGCAATAGACTAGCCCTCAATCTATGCACATACACCCGTTGCGAACATTCATTAATCTCACTCTGCCAAGTTCGATATGCTCTGATTCAGGTCATTATTCTTCACTAATATTCATAATAAAAATGCTCCATTGTCGTACCCATCATAAATCCGGGCATTGAACTCAGAGTACATCTTGTCTCTACATATCTTAGCTCCTTCCGGCGAGGCTCATATGGAGAGTTGGGGGCTGGGCTGAAGGCGGCATAGATGTCCAAACCACGTCCAGTCGGCGACTATCGCGCAAATATGACCGGCAGATACAGCCGCACAGTCAAATATTAATCTATCAGGGGCGTTGAAAGAGATACCAATCGCCTTCTCATCCGATATGGCGTGAGCAATCTTTGTGCTGCTCGTCATGAAAGCTGAGGACCCGAAACCTCGACGGTAGGTTCACTAGCGGCCATTCGTTGAAGTTCGCTGCTGCTTTGCACAATTGAAAATCCGGGTGTGCTTTTCATTCCTTCTTCTCATCGTCGTTTTCTGGGGATGCCTCCTTAGGTTCCCCTTCAGAATCGAAGCCTAGAGCATCTAGCTCTCGGATGAGCTCGTTGATTTTGATAACCTTGGCGATCTGCTCGGGAAGTAGTGCTTCACCATCCTCCTTCTTGTTCTTGAGGTCTTTGGCCTGCTTCAGCTTCTTCTTAAGATTTCGGGCTTTCTTCTGGCGCTCGACTTCGGGATCGACCTCATCAGTTTTGGTCTCTTGGGCTGGAGCGGGGGCATCGCCCTCTGTAGCCTTCGCCTTTTTTCGGGCCTCGCGGCGTTTGGCGTTCTTATTGCTAGCTGCCGAGCTTTGTTCGGAGCTCTCTTCCTTTACTCCTGCGGCGCCGGGAATGCCGATTTTCTTGCCGCGTTCGCGGAAGGCTTCGGCGGTGCGGTTTTTGTAGACTTCGACATCCTCAGGAGGGCGGTAGCCGGGGCGAATCTTGATGGCTCTGCGAGTACTACCATCTGCGCGTACGGACTGGGGAATCTCACGGTCGCCGCTATTCTCGTCGGTGACGATACCGGAATTCGAGGGTTGTGAGGGCATCTTGTCCCAGAACCGACTTGAAGAAAAAGTCAAGGCGAGAAGAATTGAGACAGATCCCGACGTATCAAGCTGTCAACGACGGACCAGGTCTGGAAATCTGCTCGGCAGCTACCGAAGCAGGACAAGAGCTGCAAATGTAACGAGCACCTGTGAGTCTTGTCTTGGAGGGGTTGATGCTAAGAGTTAGAGGGGCTCCGGTGCCACGATCGGTGCTAAGCCACAATTTGAAGATGTGGCTGTAATTGGATATCTTCAATTAAACTATAGAGCTTGCACATTGAAGTTATAGTATCTGAACTTTAATAATTGGTAACTGCATCATCTTAACGTCCATAGGATTCTAAAGAAGGTGCTAATATGTTATACATATCACATTGTACACGATACCAATCATTTTGCTGAGAAGATATCCCTGTGTTACCGATACTTTTGTCAGAATGAAATCACGTATTCGGTGCCGAAACCCATTCATTATTTTGGCCGGTAGCTTTGATATCTACTTGGTACTGTAGGTACCCGTTTAAGTGCTGTAAGACTTGAGTACTGTAACGGCTATCAGCCTCAATAAATAAGCTGTGATTTTGTGGATTGATACAGAATGTGATTTTGGGAGCTATTTCCGTAGATTGTTCCTGTTTGGGAATAAAACAAGGGAGCTCCCTGCGAAAAGAGCTTGTTCGATTTTAAGTAGATAAGGTGAGATCATCATTGGTCGACCACTCTTAGCCTCCCGTGCCCTGCAGGACGCCTTGTTTCAACCCTCCCGTCTTCGAAGCGACGTCCACGTTTGCAGGTATTTCGCCTGGTCAGCAACACTTCAGTAAGGTCGATTTCATAGAAGTGATAGTCAAGGTACCTGGGAATTTACCAAGGCGTGCTAGTCTAGTCACAAATGCCTATGAGACTGTAACAACAATGCATTGACATTGAACAAAAACCAGGTGCTCTTTCTACCCCTGCAGTTAGAACGACGGGATACCGCGTCCGTTGGTCAGATTAACTCACCGCTGTTAACGAGTATTGGCCAAGGCTCCTTACATGAGGAGCATGAATTCAACGTCATGCCGTCCAGTTGTAATGTTGCAACTAGTCACTGGCTGTCTCATGCGTGGGTCGTGGCATGTTGAGAGCCTACACAATTGTGCCTGATGTCAAGCCACCAAGGCAAACTGAGGTTTGATTCGCTTGAGATTGCCAGGAGCGTTGTGATGATTTCTCTGGCGATGTCGCAAATAAGTTAGCATTTTGTGTGCTTACGGAGTCGGCGCATTTCGTGTACTGTACAGCTCTTGAGATCCATCCATGTTAGTGACTTACATTGGTCTCACAAATGTGTTTGCACATCACCGTCTGCCTGTATAACAGGCCCCTACATAGGAGAGTTCTCACACTCGTATCAGGGGCGCAACATAGAGATGTGCCACTGCTATTGAAGTGAGGCGGTCTGGCTATTTTCTCTCTACCACGTGCAAGCTTTTGTCTGGGGCGTACAGGTTTTGTCAAGATGAGACAGAATGAACATGTGCTCTGGCCCTGTCTGCACACCAACTCATAGACCAAGCAGCCGAGCTGAGCCTTAAGCTGAACATGCCTACCTACCTAGTTTCCAGGATAGAGAATATGTTTATGTGCCAGTGCGACTAGGTTCTCTTGCCTGATTTGTGAAGCAATGCCTCAAAAGCGGAAAAGGTAACGGTAATAAACCAGGTGGCATTCAAATAGATATTTATCACCTTACATATATGAGGTCGATATTCATAAATTCCCACTACCTCATTGCTTAGGAAGGTAGGTACCTCAAACTCCCTTGTGATCCCAGTTGCGGAAAGTGCAACCTCAAGGTACCTACTGCGAGCAAGTGCCTGTTTGTTCAGGTCGTATTCCACCTCCTTCCTCTGTGCATAAACTACGACTTTCAAGCTTCTCCAACAACATCAAGGGAGGCCTCAGAGGGAACAGTTAATTAAAACGACTATCCTCTTAGCTGTAGCATCTTTCAAGATACTTACCAATATCCAACTTCCATTCCGGCACACTTATTGTCAGCCTTACACCAGTTACCATCGCCAAGATGGCTGTCTCCGACCCATCAACCGGGGCCAAGACAACGGCGAATCTGGGCCCTGAGCATTCGGCTCCCAGAGCCGAGACTAACTTATTAGACACATCGGATGCCTTTACTCCAGACCCAGGCACTGAAGACATGTTCAGGGTTGAACGAAACAAATTCGCTTTCAGTCCGGGGCAACTTTCGAAATTATTCAACCCCAAGAGTCTTAACGCCTTCTATGCTCTTGGAGGGCTCAACGGCATAGAAAAGGGCCTGAGGACTGATCGCAATACTGGCCTCAGCGTCGATGAATCGACATTAGATGGCGAGGTTGACTTTTACGATGTTGTGCCGAAGGGAACACCAAAACACGGCACTGCTGGCGATACCATCCCTGAGAGCAATACCGAGGCGGCAGTACACATACCTCCTCCCGATGACCCGAATCCTACAGGCGCTTTCTGCGACCGCAAGAAGATATTCAGAGACAATCGACTTCCCGAGAAGAAGACCAAGTCCTTACTCGAGATTGCCTGGACCACCTACAACGACAAAGTACTCATCCTTTTGACTATTGCTGCTGCAATATCGTTAGCTCTTGGACTGTACCAAACTTTTGGTGGCGAGCACAAACCAGGGGAACCCAAGGTTGAATGGGTTGAAGGTGTGGCGATTATCGTCGCTATTGTGTAAGTCAATGCTCTGATACCGATAATTCCAGATCTTCGGTAAGCTAACAGGACAGCATTGTTGTGCTTGTCGGTACAATCAACGATTGGCATATGCAAAGGCAATTCACCCGACTCACCAAGAAAACCAATGACCGTATGGTCAACGTGCTTCGCTCCGGAAAGTCTCAAGAAATATCCATCAACGATGTGATGGTTGGTGATGTTATGCACCTCGCTACTGGAGACATCGTACCTGTAGATGGTATCTTTATACAAGGCAGCTCTGTCAAGTGTGATGAGTCTTCGGCCACCGGAGAGTCTGATCTTCTGCGAAAAACACCAGCTGCCGAAGTCTTTGATACAATGCAAAAGCCAGATGCGAAGGACGTGGAGAAGCTTGACCCCTTCATCATCTCTGGCAGCAAGGTCAACGAGGGCAATGGAACCTTCCTTGTCACTGCCGTGGGTGTCAATTCCAGTTACGGTCGTATCTCGATGGCACTTCGTACCGAGCAAGAAGACACGCCACTTCAAAGGAAACTCAACGTTTTGGCAGATTGGATTGCCAAGGTCGGTGCCGGCGCTGCGTTACTGCTCTTCATCGTGCTCTTCATCAAGTTCTGCGCCCAACTTCCGAACAACCGTGGCACACCTTCCGAAAAGGGGCAGGAATTCATGAAAATCTTCATTGTCTCCGTCACTGTTGTCGTTGTGGCTGTCCCAGAAGGACTGCCCTTGGCAGTAACACTGGCACTGAGCTTTGCGACCGTCAAGATGCTTCGTGATAACAATCTTGTCCGAATTCTCAAAGCCTGCGAAACCATGGGAAATGCCACGACTGTTTGTTCCGACAAGACGGGAACACTGACTCAGAACAAAATGACTGTCGTTGCCACCACTCTGGGAAAAGCTACAAGTTTCGGTGGCACTGATGCGCCTTTGGATAAGTCTATAAAGATCAACCAGGATGCTATCACCGTGCCCAATGTTTCGGAGACAGAATTTGCGAAGGGACTAAGTCAAGAGGTCAAAAACATCCTCGTTCAGTCCAATGTCCTCAACTCGACTGCCTTTGAAGGCGACCAGGAGGGACAGCAAACATTCATCGGGTCCAAAACTGAGGTCGCTTTGCTGACATATTGTCGAGATTACCTCGGATCAGGCCCAGTTCAGGAGGCTCGATCAACTGCTGAAGTTGTACAAACCATTCCCTTTGACAGCAAATACAAGTACAGTGCTGTCGTAGTAAAGCTAGCCAACGGAAACTATCGAGCCTATGTGAAGGGTGCCTCTGAGATCCTTTTGGGCAACTGTACCAAGACTCTCGAAAACTCGTCCCAGGGAGGCTTGACTCCGGTCCCTTTGACAGATGCTGATCGAAACATGTTCAACTTAATCATCAGCTCCTACGCAGGCCAGACTCTTCGAACTATTGGTTCTTCATATCGAGACTTCGAATGCTGGCCGCCTGAGGGAGCGGCTTCTCGGGACAATCCACGACACGCAGACTTCAAGACCGTGCATCAGGACATGACCCTGATCGGCATCTACGGTATCAAAGACCCATTGCGACCTACCGTCATTAGTGCTCTTGGAGACTGTCGTCGAGCTGGCGTGGTTGTAAGAATGGTTACAGGCGACAACATTCAGACTGCCTCCGCTATTGCTTCTGAATGTGGCATCTTTCGACCTGACGAAGGTGGCATTGCCATGGAGGGACCGGACTTCCGAAGACTTCCGCCCGAAGAGCTCAAAGAGAAAGTGAGATACCTCCAGGTTCTGGCTCGCTCAAGTCCCGAAGATAAACGCATCCTTGTTCGCACTCTTAAAGAACTTGGAGAGACAGTCGCAGTCACCGGCGACGGAACCAATGATGCTCCCGCTTTGAAGATGGCTGATATTGGATTTTCCATGGGTATTGCTGGAACAGAAGTGGCAAAGGAAGCATCGTCAATTATCCTTCTCGATGACAAGTAGGTAAAGAACTCTGGTGACTCAACGGCGGAAAGGCTAACAAACCTCAGCTTTGCTTCTATCGTAAAGGGTTTGATGTGGGGTCGTGCTGTTAACGATTCCGTCAAGAAGTTCCTCCAGGTAAAGCTTCCATGTCGAGTCACACCTGGCCAGAACTGACTGATAGAAACTAGTTCCAACTGACTGTCAATATCACAGCTGTGGTGTTGACTTTTGTCTCAGCCGTCGCAAGCAGCACACAAGAATCTGTCCTCAATGCTGTTCAGCTTCTCTGGGTCAATTTGATTATGGACACATTCGCAGCACTTGCGCTTGCGACGGACCCTCCTACTCGTAGTGTCCTCGATAGAAAGCCAGATAGGAAGTCTGCTCCTCTCATCACTTTGAGAATGGCCAAAATGATCATAGGCCAGGCTATATGCCAACTCGCCATCACCTTTGTGCTGAACTTCGGTGGCAAGAAGCTTCTGGGCTGGTACGATAACTCTGAAAAAGACTCCAAAGAACTGAAGACTCTTGTCTTCAACACATTTGTCTGGCTACAGATATTCAACGAAATCAAGTACGTCCCAGAATATCAGCATCGTATTGACACCTGCTAACATGGAACTTCAGTAACCGCCGCCTGGATAACAAGCTCAATATATTTGAAGGTCTTCATCGCAACATGTTTTTCATTATCATCAACCTCATAATGATAGGAGGTCAGGTTCTTATTATATTCGTGGGCAGTGATGCTTTTGAGATTGTCCGTTTGAGCGGGAAGGAATGGGGATTGTCGATTGGGCTTGGAGCAATATCTATTCCTTGGGGTGCAGCCATCAGACTCTGTCCAGATGAGTGGATTGCTGCCTGCCTCCCAGGCTTCCTTCGGAGAAGATGGATCTCACCTCCCGAGGAGGATTTCGCTGCCGAGAAATCGCTTGATTCAGACGATGAATTCGTGCGGCCACCACTCCGTATTATGAGTTCTCTTCGTGGACCACGTGTACAGCAGCATATTGGGTTCAGGGAGCGAATGCGAAGATGCAAAGAGAAGACCAAGGAGAAGACTAAGGAAAAGGTGAAGGGAGGAAACGACGATGCAGACAAGTCAGGGGTAGTTGTTGGTCATGTTGCTGAACCGGGTCGTTCCTAATTCAAGCACATCTTAGAAGACGAGAATAGAGCAGTCACAGCCTTGATTGAAACCAAATTGGTCATTGTCTCGGAAGAAAACCTTCTGCCGACGTGTAGTGATACAAAAAAGAGCTATAAATGTGTAACTTTGCGAATTAGTGCATGAATTGGACAGTGGTTCTCGAAGATCGTGAATTCGTCTCAAGGACCATTCCTGGAAACTCCAAGAGAGAATATATCACATAGGTTGAAAGAAGCATATAGTCCTAATTCTCAAAGTTCTGAATAATAATCAAAGTCAAGTTGTTAGTGAAGGCATGGAGGATGCTTCATGGGATTAAAGTGGGACTCGGGATTTCTGGCTCAGCTAACCAATCATAGACGAGGTAAAGATGTCCCCGGAACTTCGCGAATTTCCTGGCCTGACAATCTCTAGAACCTCCCCATCCTTCAACCGAAGCCTCACAATCGCCCGTCGCAGACGTCCACCACCGACTCTTAGCCGTGTTCTAGACGCTCAATTGCGCTCATCAATCAAAATGGTAAGATGCCGATAACCTCTCGATCTTCCATGCCGACCACCGTAGCTAATCGCGCACCCATTTAGGCCCTCGCCAACACCCTCTACAGGCAAGTCACTGCCAAAACGACAACGACATATCGAACCTCGAGACTAATACGAATTGAATCTGCAGGAGCCTCTTCTCCACCAACTATCTGATGCTCGCGACCGTCTTCTCCGCCGGTTTCGCCTGGGAGATGTAAGGCCTCCTCTACTCCGGACCAAAGGGAACAGGGCACTGATTGAGATACAGCGGCTTCAACAACGTCATGGACAAGGTCTGGGACAACAACAACCGAGGCGTACGTTCGAATCTACTCTGCCGATTAATACTACTGGATACTAATTGGGTTCGCAGCGACAATGGAAGGACATCCGACACAAGTTCCTCGAGGGTGGCGATGAGGACGAGGAATAAACAAGTCGACCTGGGAATTGATTATCGAGCAACGGGCGAGGCGAAGGATTGACTCTGTGCCACTAGCCGTGTACAAATTAGAAGAGAATTAGAGGCAGGATTTCACGCACAATGTTTCCCTATATTCTTTGAGTCGCCGATCCAGACAGGCCAGCAATTCCGCCTGTTGTATTTGCTATTGAAACACATGTTGACCGTATTATCTGAAACGTTTTGGCGCTTATTAGTGACTCCCATATCTGCTTCAGTTGAATATACGTAGCTAGCCGTCCAGAGCTGCTTTTGGCCATCCGTTGCTGGTGCAGTGACCGAGGGGCAACACCTACCTTTAATTCAGCCTCAGGATGCAATGGACAGTCCGGTTTAGTAGTTAAAACATCACACTCGTCATCAATCCGGGGAACCTTATGCCTTTACAATCTGGCATTATCAACCACGATTTTGACACTGACTCCTGGATTTTCTGTCTTTGCTATTAAATAATCACAGGCATATATGCCTTTCCCCCCGTATTGCTCTCAGGTTGCTGACGTCTTTATCAGCAACGTGCTGTTCCACCAGTCTTCTCCAATATTTGCGGACCCCCCACCTTAGTATTGCCTATCAACATCCTGCCTGACGACATCGCCGACACCGCAGTCAACGTTTTTTGCTTTTCTTTTTTCTCTCTGCTCCTTTACCTCGTCCTTGCTTGTATCTAATCCAACGAATACTACAATGAGGTTGGAGTGACAATGTCCCATTCCATGTCGACGCAGGAGCAGCAGCTCTGCCAGTTCTTGGCGGAGCTGCCCACACGCTTCAACTACCGCTTTAGCGAAGACGCTTCGCGCGAACTACTAACCAATCTGTTCTGGTCTCTTGCCGGCGGTAGCAACGAATATATGCGATTACTCTTCCCGGATGGCAAACCTGGAGACAGCCTCAAACTAAGCGACTCTCAAGGCGCGGTCGAAGGCGCCGAGTACACTGAAGCAGCGCGGGGGAAGCGATGCGGCCATATTTTCAAGCCTGGTGAGGCATCATACATGTGCCGTACCTGCGGCACTGACGAGACATGTTGTCTATGCGCACGATGTTTCGACTCGACCGACCACACGGGACACATGGTTCGAATCCACATATCAGTAGGAAATAGCGGTTGCTGCGATTGTGGAGATGATGAAGCATGGAGGACACCTCTGTTCTGTACCATCCATTCCCACGTCCAGGGAGGTACGGATAAGGGCAAAGGGAAAGAGGCAGCCGGTCTGCCTGAGGACCTTGTAACGAATTTGCAGATGACCATCGGTCGTGTCTTTGATTATATCTGCGATGTCATCTCATGCTCGCCAGAGCAGCTGCGGCAGACCAAAACGCAGGATTCAATTCTTGAAGACGAGCAGTCCTCCCGCCTGTTGTCGAAATACTACGGCCCTGAAGCTGAACCTTGTAACGAATTCGCACTTATTCTATGGAACGATGAGAAACATACCGTTCAGGAAGTACAAGATCAGGTCGCTCGTGCTTGCAGGAAGAGTAGAAAGCTGGCAGCCGAGAATGCTTGGGAAACGGATGCCATCGGTCGAAGTATACTTACATACCTGCCTGATGTCCCCCGCCTTTTGGAAATGGCAACAATCATGGAAGCTATCAGAGTCACGGTTACGATTCGATCTGCAAGAGACACCTTCCGCGAACAAATGTGCGGCGCACTCGTCGAGTGGTTAAGCGACATCTCCGGCTGCTCCGTTGGTCATGACCACAGTATCCTTCGACGAACCGTTTGCGAGCAAGTCATGAAACCTTGGCGTAAAGGCAGTCAAGCAACCCATACCTTGGGCCAGATCGACGATGAAGAGGAGGACGACCAACTTGTGGACACTAGACGTCGCTTCGACGGTATGAATGCTAGGTTTATTTTGGCATTGCAGGCTGCTGCGGGAGCCGGCGCTGGTGTGCAGATAGAAATCGACGATGATGATGAGGAGGATGAAGACGACGTCGATGCAGATATGGACGATCAGGGCCAGCATTCCCCATCTAGTTCCGTGGCTGGAGGAGACGAAGACGGGGTCATGGACGTTATCATGGCTGAGGCAGATGTTGAAGACCTGGGTATGAACTGGAGAGACAACGATCAAGCTTTGGAAGAAGACGAAGCAACAATGGCTGGATACCCACCGCCACCTCCGCCACCTGCTGCTCAAGCTCAGTCTCAGAGTCAGGCCCAGGCAGAAGCTCCAGCTAGGACCAGAGATAGAGAAGCAACGCCGTCCGACTCTGATACAGCAGAACCCTTGATCGCGCCTTCAATCTACGCCAAGGCAAACGTTGATATTCCAAAAACTCCCGGTAAGTCCGAGAAACTGGAACCCAGGCCAGGGAGATATTGGGTCGAAGTTCCCTCTGTCTATGCGCAGCGCGAGAACGTTCCCCCAGCCGAGGATGTCTTCCGTCGCGTGCGCCTCGACTGGCTTCTACTATTCGATCTGCGAATGTGGAAGAAGGTCAGGAATGACCTCCGCGCCTTGTACATTTCTACAGTCGTAACGATACCTGAATTCAAGCGGGTATTGGCGATCAGGTTCGCCAGTCTTTACACCATTCTAGCTCAGCTCTACTTGGTTGGAGATCGAGAACCAGATCACTCCATAATCAATCTCTCTCTCCAGATGCTCACCACTCCATCGATCACTGCAGAAGTTGTCGAGCGTGGCAATTTCATGACCAGCTTACTTGCGATCCTCTACACCTTCTTGACAACCCGTCAGGTTGGTCATCCCTGGGAGGTTTCCCCTAATGCAGTGCTTGGATTTGAGAGCGGATCTGTCACCAATCGGCGAATGTACCATTTCTACCAAGATCTTAAGTATTTGTTTGGTGCTCCTCATGTTCAGGAGCGTGTGAGATGTGAACCTCGCTACCTCATGCAATTCCTCGATCTCGTCAAGCTCCATCAATGCATAGGACCCAACGTGAGAGCCGTCGTCGAGCACGTGGAATATGAGGCCGATTCTTGGATCACGGCTTCGCTTGTGACCAGACAGATCAATCTTCAAGCTCGAAACCTTGCCGAGGCGTTCCGTAACTGCCCGCCTGATGAGTTCCATTACCTGCAAGATGCAATTCGCTTCACGGCAAAGACTGTTATCCTCAACTCTATCGGTGCCGAACGACATCGCTTCAAGCAAGGAGAAATCAAGGATGAAGTACAGTTCAAGACATTGAGCGATTTCGAATTTGAGGGTGAAGACGCATCTTTTGATGTTGTCAAGTTTGTGGTTGAAAAGGATGCGATCAGTTTCCATCATGCTCTGCACTATACCCTCTCTTGGCTCATTGAGTGCGGACGCTCATTGCCTGTGTCCACTGTACGAAACTTGCTGAGCTTCACCCAACAAGAACTCAAGTCAAAGCCGAAACTCATGGGTCGCCCTCAAGTGCCACGCAAGAATTACACTGCAGAGGACTATCTAATCGCAGCCTTCGATTTTCCTCTCCGCGTTTGCGCATGGCTTGCTCAGATCAAAGCCAACATGTGGGTTCGCAATGGTATCAGCCTGCGACACCAAGCCAGCACATACCGAGGTGTTGGCCAACGTGATGTATCTCATCACCGGGACATCTTCCTTCTCCAAACTGCTCTTGTGGTTTGCAATCCTAGCCGAGTGTTGGCCTCAGTCATCGACCGCTTCGGAATGGAGAGTTGGGTCAAGGGTTTGTTCGAACTCAAGTCAGAGGCACAGGACGACGCACAGCATCTTGATGTCGTTGAGGACATGATTCATCTCCTCATTGTTCTGCTCAGTGATCGTACATCTCTGATTTCATCAGGGGATGAAGCTCAATCCAAACTCTTGGCTATGCGCCGTGACATTATTCATGTCCTTTGCTTCAAGCCTCTGTCATTCAACGAGATTTGTAACAAGCTGCCGGAGAAATACCAAGAGCAAGAGGATTTCCACCGAGTTCTAGATGAAATGGCTACTTTCAAGCCACCTGAGGGTGTTTCTGATGTCGGTACTTTTGAGCTTCGGCCCGAGTTCATTGAGGAAATTGACCCTTACATCGCGCACTACAACAAGAACCAACGCGAGGAGTCTGAGCTAGCTTATCGAAAGAAGATGGCGAAGCGAACAGGGAAAGCGGTCGATGAAATTGTGTATGAGCCCAAGGCCCGACCAGTCCCATCAGGCATGTTCGAGGAGCTGGGCGCTTTCACCAGCACAGGCATGTTTTCCCAAATCATCTATTACTCACTTCTCTATCCCCTGGTGGCTGGCAAATTCACTCCCTCAATTCCTTTTACTCGTCTGGAGACCTTCCTTCAAGTCGTCTTGCATCTTATGCTCATTGCGATCCTTGAGGACAAGTCGAGCGATGATGATATGAGCGAAGAATCTAATAAATCATTCGCATATATCGCTCTTACGAAGCATGGACGCAGCAACTTCTTGCCTGTCCCTGAGAAAGAGACGAGGACCATTGTGTCTTTGCTCAATATGATGTCGACCAAAGATGAGTTCAAGGCAGTTCATCCTAAAGTTGCGCTCGTGCTCAAGCGGTTACGCCAGAAGCGTCCCCGTGCCTTTGAGTCTGCATTCATGACCTTGGGCGCCTCCGTTGACCGTATCAACACCGCCTCGCCCGCCAACACATCTGCTGAGGAGGAGCGTGAAAGGAAAAAGAAGGCAGCCCTTAGCCGCCAAGCCAAGGTCATGGCTCACTTCCAACAACAGCAGAAGAGCTTCCTGGAGAACCAAACTTCAATCGATTGGGGCAGTGATATAGATGAAGATGTGGACGAAGAAGAGGAAGAGGAGCAGACCGAGGATCGAAAACACAACTGGAAGTATCCTGTGGGAACATGTATCCTGTGTCAGGAAGAGCCAGACGATCGCCATCTTTACGGAACATTCGCTCATTTTAACGAAAGCCGGATTCTCCGACAGACGGATTTTCAAGATCCCGATTTTGTTCGTGAAGCATCACAAACCCCTTGCAGTCTTGATCGATCGGCCGAAGACGTACGACCGTTCGGTATCGCCCACGAAAACAGAAAAATGGTTGAAAAGATCAACGCTCAGGGTGAGACTTTCCTTGCGGAACGACAAACTATTGGTAAAGGATTCCCTTCCAATGTGTGCCGGTCGGGTCCTGTAGCAAGTGGTTGCGGCCATATGATGCACTACCGCTGCTTTGAAGTCTACTATGAAGCAACCGTTAGGCGCCACACGCACCAAATTGCCAGGCATCATCCCGAGGATACTAAGCGCAACGAGTTTGTCTGTCCTTTGTGCAAGGCTCTAGGAAACGCATTCATGCCAATCATCTGGAAAGGCATAGACGAATCCTATCCAGGCTATCTGCAATCGCAAGGCACATTCGACGACTTTGTCGAAACGCAGCTGGGGTCTGCTTACTGGATTGGTGGAAGCAAGGCACGCGAGGATGAGCCAACTGTCCCTGATATGTTTACTCCAAGCCTTCCAGGCAGCCTCGTCGAGTCTCTGCTCCCAGCCCAAGCTTCGAGCGAAAACACCTGGGGAAAGGATGATGCTGAATATCACTCATCAGCTGTCGGTACACCTGTTAGTTACGCTTTTTCCGACTCCATTACCCCTGAACCGGCGCAACCTCAACCAGCTTCCACCAACACGGATGGTAACCAACTGATGAAGGAGCTGTTGGCAGCCTACCGTCGACTGCGAAACACGCTTCGTGTTAATGCTCTTCGCACTAACCACACTATCGATGCTAAAGTTGACAACGCCAGTGAGCTGTGTGCCAGTGACACACTGGTAAAGGCAGTGGGCTTTACAATCTCCTCGATAGAGGTCCAGCAGCGAGGTATTGAGGCTCAGCCGGGTATGACACTTCTGGAAAAAATTCCTGAGCATATCTTGACACACCTAAGAATCTTGTCAGAAACAGTCTCGTCCTACATCGCTATCGGGGCACAACCTGGCGGAGTCGATAATAAGATCGAAGAAGAGTTTAAGAAAGATAGCGAGAGGCAACATTGTCAATTATTCATGTCTCGATACTTTGGCACCGGAACACCTTATGCTCGTCGGCCGCTGGACGTCTATCCTCCGCTACTGAGCATGGATTCGTTCCTGTTCTTGGTGGAGTGCTCTTACGGCTTGGTGCCGCTTCAGAAGGCCGAGATCTCACATGTCCTTCGCCTATGCTACCTGGCAGAGCTTGTAAAGCTTGTTTACCACATGGGTCGCAACATCCCCGTTGCCAGCTGGGTTGGTAATCTCACTAACCGACAAACGCAAGACCCAGCCATCAACAACTTTGCCGATTTTGCTCTTGGTGTTACAAAGACTGGTCTTGAGTACCACGCTGCCCAGTTCCCCGAAGGTGTGGAGTTTGGTGAGAATCGAGGGTTCCAGCAGCCTGGCGTCGACACTTTGGAGAGTTGGTACACCTTCTCGAAGAAATATGCTCTCACTTTCCTTCGAAAATGTGTCATCTTTCTATATGTTAAGTACGGTGTAGATTTCAATAGTCATGTCTCATCAGCCCCAGATGCGGATGAGCTAGAGCGTCTCACAGAGGCACTCAAGCTGCCAACTTTCGACGAGATGTGTGCTTCTATCACGGACAACGCATCTTCCTGCGGCTGGCCCCAGACGACTTCGGCACTGGTGTCGGGCTGGGTCAAGCATCAGGTGATGTGGCCTGGAGACTATAGCGAAATCCCCCTCTCAGCCATGATGAGCCATCCAGGAATCTTTGAACTGATCGGGCTACCGAAAAACTACGATGCTCTCATAGAAGAGGCCACCCGGCGAAAGTGTCCCACCACAGGCAAAGAGCTTACAGATCCTGTCATTTGCCTCTTCTGCGGAGAACTGTCGTGCAGTCAGGGCACATGCTGCCAAAAGACGGACAACTCCTCGGATAGTACAGAGTACACCAAGATTGGTGGCGCACAACAACATATGCGGAAGTAAGTGTTCGAAATTAGACGAGCCTAAAAGGTCAAACAATACTAACAACGAGTGTCTAGGTGCCAACGTAACATTGGTGTCTTCCTCAACGTACGTAAGTGCTCGGTGGTGTACCTCTTCCGACTCTCAGGATCCTTCACGCCAGCACCATATATCGACAAGTACGGAGAGACGGATCCGCAGCTGCGTCATGGGCGACAGCTCTTCCTCAACCAGAAGCGATATGACTCTATGATACGAAACACGGTGCTCAATCATGGGGTGCCGAGCTTGATCAGCCGAAAGCTGGAGGCCGAGATCAATAATGGAGGATGGGATACTTTATAAAACACGCAAGGAGTTATTGGGATAAAGAAAGCAAAGCTGTTGGTGGTAGACAGTGGGTTTCGGGCTGACCGGAGATGTAGAAAGGGTTATATGGTATGAAATGATGCGAAGGGTGACGTGTTAGTTGCATGTGTGTTTTTTGGCATGGCCTTTATTACTAGCATTCAACTCATAGAAGTATGATACTTAGGTATGTTGGGCATATTAAATTCTACCTGAGTAAACGTTTGTGCGAGTATAAGTAAGTGTTTTCATGACTTTAATATCGAATGAAGCGCATGTTGAGCATATCTGCACTGTCTAACGCGAAGGATGGTTCTTTGTTGAAGAATAGGATCTATCTGTACTGACTTATCTATTGCATTTGTACCATACTAATTCACGATAGTATCCTCATCCCTGAGCTGTTCAGTGTTATATGTTATTCTTTGATAGCGTACAGTGAAGATCGTACAGTGTTCATATGAATGAGAGACGGTACAAAGTCTACCAGTCGGCCAATCATATCGCGCCTCCTCTCGCTCAGGCGCGTCTACCGTGGCTCAACTGCACTCAAGCCTCTTTGGATTGAATATGAACCACGACAAGGAAAGCACGCAGTGCAGGAGAAGCAACGGTTCTTTCCTTCTTTAAACCCCCTCCCCTTCACTCACCTTGTCTTTCAACCATTTCCCTCTCCCACCCCCTTCTTTGTTTGTATTGTATCATAGAAACTTGCCTATTTTTTGTGATACCTAATAACTGAAACTACTTGCCTCTCAATCGCAATTTCCATCGGGGGGACGCCTCCACTTGCCTTGCCTTGCTCCCAGAGCACCATCAAAAATGGCAGGCAGACGTTCAGGTCGCGCTGCCGCCAAGCGGGCTGCGGCTGCTCTAGGTGAGTGAGTTCGAGCTCTCCCATCTAAACTTTTTGTACAAACCTCCCAAACCAAAGATACAGCAAACAAATTGCACCTCAACAAAGACTTTTTTTTTTTTTTTTTT